GGGGGGGGCCAGCGGGCCCCAATAGATGAGGAGTAAGAGATACGGTATTAAAACAATCCAGGAGTCATGATAAGAAGAATGGAAATAAGCTAGTAATAAGTAAGCAGTAGTGCAATAACTTTGTGTAATAAGTTACACACTTTAAATAAATAAACGAACGAACGAACGAACGTGGTTGCAGTCCACCCCGGTTTTTCATGGTTGGGTTAGGGTTGGCTAAAAAATATAAGAAATGGAAAAGCCTAAGGGCAAAATATAAAGTTAGACAGTGTAATAGCAAATTAAGGGGAGCGAAAAGTCAGTAGTTCCCCAAAGCTGGCACTTAAAACACATCGAAACAAACGAACGTGGTTGCCATCTAGTAGTGAACAGGTCGAATTAGTTTTTCTTTTTCTGTTTATTGAAAGCTTCGAACCAATTCAGGCCCATATGCCTTAGTTAAGTGAAGTACATGAAATAACATACTAATAATACATATGTGAGTCTTAAAACTACTTATCATTACCTAAATATATAGACTTTAATATAATCTATAACAGTGTAAGGATGAAGTAATTTTTCTGCCTTTGTGAGCGCCTCTATCGGGAAAACGCCCAAGTTTATCCTGGAATGGTTCCTGTTTTTACTGCTAGATGGCGTCATATATACTGCGATTACCGACAGAATGATAAAGTATTGATAGGTGTAGGTAAGAAATGAACTTTGGCGGAAACTTCTTTGTCGATTCAGAAGAGGATCTCTTTTACCGTCTTTTGTTACGTTCATCTTTTTGAATTTCTGTTTGATTTTGTTAATTAATAAATTGCATTCTGGTTGTTCAAACGTGTGATCATTAAAATTTGAAAATAAAACCACTTATATTCTGAACATAAATTTATTATAGTCTCAAGTGCTATAGAAACAACGTAAACAGCGCCACCCAGCAGTAAAAACAGGAACTATTCGAGGACAAACTTGGGCGTTTTCCCGGTAGAGGCGCTGATTTTCAATAGAAATACGATACAATATTATAGTTCGCGAATAATCTTAAAAAAAAAAAAAACATACACGCGTGATAAATAATGGCACTCGCGGTTGGTATTTATACGCAACACTACCTAGAAAAAAGCGCGAAAAATTTTACAAGTTACCATATTTTCATTTACTTGTAAACGAGACAGATTGCAGCCATTGGCTCATATTACTTTGTATGCAATTGATAATGTAATGATTAATGGTAAGAATATAGAGTGTCCAGGTCTCACCACGTGGAGGTTACTGCATATGGAGACCCAAATCGGATGGCCAGGACAAATGTCACATCCTAGTCACCCTTTATTAATCCCACGATAATTTCGGAAACATAGAACATATATACAGTGGGTGCAGAAAGTATTCGTACACCGATCAACTTCCAAAAAGACTGTGTAAAATTGTAATTTATTAACTTATTTTTTTTATAAACAATGACATTCTCCATATTCTCGGAAATCTCTAGAATAGATAGAGTACAAAAAATAGCTATTTATGTAAGTTACGAAATTAACAAAAAAAAAAAAAAAAAAAAAAACAATTAATCGATAGAAATATTGAGCCAATAATTATTCGCACAACTGTTTAAAAGTACTTGCTTGGAAATTCGATGTTTTCTAATTCGTACGGAGCAATAAACTAATGTGTTTACGTTACATACTCTACTGTAAATGGTTCGTCATAAGAATCGTACAAATACTTATTGCGTCTATACTTTTACCCACTTTTCGCATTTTTTTGTTAATTTCACAAATTGTATTACCTAGTAAATATTGTTTGGATTATATCTATCTTAGAGACTTCCGAGAATATGTAAAATATCGTTGATCATAAAAAAAGAAGTTAAGAAACAACGATTTCATACAAAAGTTTTTTGGAAAATTCATCGGTGTACGAATACATTCTACACCAACTGTATATACGTTAAAGCAGTATTTTTGTTGTCAAATCATTTCTCATTTTATATTGTACAAAACAATGTTGCTAATGCACCGCGCGATCGTTTCTCAATATTTGTTCAATTAACGTTCTTTAAAATTAACATTACGACGAGTACCGACGGAAACGGACGGCTACCGACACCGACGTTGAAATTTTCATAGCAGCATTGGCGGTGCTCACCGATACGTTAGACATGTGTGTGCGATGCCTACTAGCGCCGCGTGGATTTATTTCTCCAACTAAAAACGTGGTTTCACTTCCCCGCATGTGCGCTTGTCCCCCCTGGTTAGTGCATTGAGAGCAGGGGGTCCAAGCTCACGTATTCTATTCTCACGTTCCTATTTCTATTTCTATTTAAGCTATATAAATTCGGGAACCTGCAGACGCGGTTAAAAGGATTTCCGTCGTTTCAAAAAATATCATTTTCCAAATGACGGAAATCCATCAAATTGCGTGTGCACTTTCTCTGGTTTACTTTCTTTTAAATAATTCAAAGCAATGTATACGCATACACGCGAATGCACTCCGCATTTTAGTTGGATGAATTTTTCCCACGCGGCGCTACAAACTTGTACCAACTTTTAATACGTGATCCTGGACCCCCAGATTGAGAGAGTTTTGAGGAGGCAGATCCAAGAAGAACGCAACCAATGGATCGCGGAGGTGGGGATTGGCAGAGCTGTTTGCCGATTCGTTGACTCGCTGGCACGGTCGCTCGGGTTCGGGTTCGGGTCGTATCGTCGAATGCTCCCTCTCTCAGTTCGTCTCGCGATCGCGCGCTTAGAGGGATGAACGCTGTTGCCGTTCGCTTCCTTCCGCGAACCAAAATCCAGTGTCAGTGTCGAGCAAACATGTAACCCACGATTACGATCGTCGGAGTAATCGGGACACGATCGACCCTCGAAGATCACGAATTAATAGAATCGATCGAATCGATATCGAATGCAGTATTACTGTTTAAACAAACTAGTGATAAAGTAATCGCCAAGTAATCCGCGCGATTCTGATCAGTCCTCGCGCGACATGTGACGCGTGTGCTCGACACCGGCTGATCTGTCGTTCCTGTAAGCTACCCTGCTACCCGTGGTGCTGTTGTGGTTTGATCGAGAAGTGACGGAAAAAAGAAGAATCCTGTGTTCCTGTTCTTGGAGGGAACAGAACGAGAGTGTTTGATGCGACGAGATGGGCAGCGAGGCAGAGACGGAGGCCACGGGTGCCAACGTGGATTCGGACGAGTCCGATAGTTGGGAGAAGTTTTTCGGTGAGTCGAACCCCTTTCGTTGGGTTCTTATCAGAGAGGGGCATTATTCTCGTGACATTCAGCTTCGCTGAGGGCAATTTAGACGTAGTCACTTGTGGGATTTACGAGATGAAAATTCGTGGTTCTTGAGGCTCGAGAATCCCATAGGAAATTCTAGACAGCTCGTTGATATTTTTCCTGGTTAAGGGGAGAGTCTGGTCCAGCTAATGTATTTTTCTAATGGATATAATTTCCAGATATAATTAATTTTTGTTATTGAAACGTTGTTTACATATGAAGGGATGGTGAAAGAAGAAAATTTGACAGTGTAGATTTAATTTTAATGTATACTTATACAGGGTGTTCAAAGAAGAAAATTTGAATGTATACATATAAAGGGTGTCCAAAAAAAAAACATTCAATATTTATACGGTGTATAGGGCACACTGTACCGAGTAAAAATGTTTCAGTAAGCATAGGTCCAAAGGTCCAAAGGTCAACCGTTTCTGAGATATAAACATTTTTGTTTGCTAGTACCATGATTGACTTACAACTGGGTTTTTGATATTTATAGAAGATTTTTCACGTGTCCCACCATATAAATATTGAATGCTTTTTTTTTGAACACCCTATATAGATATAGTAGTCGCAAAGAAGGGATTCGGTCAAAACGGCGGGACACGTATGTAGCTCATCGAATTTTTATCCGATTCCTTTGATTCGACGTTTAAATTGAAGGTAATCGAGTTTACGTGCTTATGAACCTCGACTCTTAATGAATTATTATTATAGCATAAAGTTTCTGCAAAATAACGGCCGGCATGTATCGTTCATTTTCATGTCTTTTGCCGCCATTTTTGGAATTAACAATTTTCGTTTGCAAATTGAGGTTCGTACGCATTTTACGTACGCAAATTACAATTAGACTGCGGATTTGATGCATTCACAACATAAACTGATATAATAAGTACATGCTATACACAAACAAAATATACGTGCACTCATGCAAAATCAAATAAGAATATTATTATATTAATTGTAGAATATATCCGACATACATTATTTACATTTTATGTATGTTTTCTGTATTATTCGTTCATGTAACATGTAGTACGTTCTAAATAAATGCATAAAATCCGCAGTCTCGCCAATTCGCTTATGCTGACTTCAGCACACACAAAATGCAAACGCGTATCCAAATTCATTCTTGTTCCAACCTCCGAATTAATTTTAGTAAATCGACTTAATTTATCAAGCCGTTACTTCGATATTAGAAATCTGATGAGAAGTCTTCGTAAACCTAGCGTGAATAATTATTTGAGCGTGGTACGTTAGCGGTATCGAGACTCTTTCAATTTTCTGTGCCAATCGACGCCGCCCGACGGGGAATTAACCTATTTACACGCCGCGTCTTGGCGCCAATTCACAGAACGCAGAGAAAAGAAACAACCAATCATAACGTCTTGTAAACGATCGTCGCGCCTTTATTGTCCATAATGCATTCGCGTGTCTTACCTTGAGTGGATAATTCGTCTCGTTACTTGAAAGGGTGATTGCTCCAGTGGAAACATGGTCTCACGGGAGGAGGAGAGGGGGTGTAAGGGAAATTTATGGCGTTCGATTGGACGAAAGAATTTTAGAAACCCCGTGGACCAGAGTTTTGCATTTCTAGAGAGCATTTAACACATTCGCGTCGGCGTGTACCACCGGTGGCTCGCGCTCGCGTGCCTAT